GTTTGCTCTTAATTTCTGCAGCCATACCAGCTCACTTAGCAATGGAACAGCTCCCATCACTCAGCACTTAATGTTTGATTAATGTGCCACAGCATCTCCCCAGACATTTATGACACCTTTAGGAATAGAGATGACAATGACTTTATCACACGGAGTCACTTCGTACTATCTGCATCTCACTTAATGATTTATATATCCAGGAGTGATTTTATCACTGCTACTCAGTAACATAATAAATGAGAAAACTCAATGGTCTGTAAATTACAACACTGATTAAAGAAGTGATTACTGATATAACTCTTACACGACTATGATAATGCWTGCTTATATTTCAGGACAGCATTTACATATTAATGATAAATCTGCTGTAGTGKTTAGAAATACTTACAGCTTTAATCAAAATGTAAACATTTACAAACAGATAATGTTTATTGCAGAGGAAATGAGTAGACTTCTGTTACTCTTCAGTGGCTGAAATCTATGGCAGGGGCAGTCTTGATGAAGGTCAGGGTGGTGCTTTGATTCAATGCTTGCCCCTGTGGAGACCAGTTTGGGTTTGCTGGGTTCCTCTTGGCCAAGCTGGGAAGGAGCTTTGCTCATTAAAAATTCCCCAGCACTGCCAYGGGTTTGCAGCTCGCAGCATCACAGACAGAAAATCAACCTCAGGCTCCATAAATCGCATCCAGTGTTTGGGCATAACTGTGCCTCCTAAGCCAGGGAGGATTCTGTGCTCAGCTGCTCCCCTGTGCTATCCTATCATTAACGTGCACCAAGAGCATTTTCTGTTTGTTTGGGKTTGAGCTGCCAGGGTTACCCTTGGAGCTGTTCTGTCACTGTGATCACCTTCTCCCTCCCCTGTTCCTCCTACAGGTCTCTGACAGGTGTGACTATGTTTTTGTCAATGGTAAGGAGATGAAAGGCAAGGTGAACGCTCTGGTGAACTTCACCTACCAGTACCTGAGTGCTCCCCTGCASATGACGGTGTGGGTGCCTCGCCTGCCCCTGCAGATCGACATTTCTGACACCGAGCTGAGCCAGATCAAAGGCTGGAGGGTCCCAGTTGTTTCCAACAAAAGGTGGGTTTGAGTCACTCAGATTTGTTAAATGAACGCTCCCAAATGCAGCGTCTTTCCCTGAGGAGCAGCAGTACAGGGATCTCCAGATTAAATAAAGCTTTTGAGAGTTGTGGGACTTTCTGGCTGTCTTGGGCAGCAGAATGTGGAGCACTCCAGCAGAGTGTGGAGCYCTGGGAATGTCCCCTGACAGAGCTGATGTTTGCACATGGCAGCACAGATGAAAAGTGTCACTGTCCTGTTGTGTGTCCCCATCGTGTGAGGTGGCCGGGTGTCATTGATGGCCCAGAGCACCAGGAGGGAGGGCTCTGTTGGAGCAGGGACTCTCCATAAGCTCTGCCATGATGATTTGCACTGATGTCCTTGCAAACCTGTCCTTCCTGTGGCCACAGGCCCACGAGGGACAGCGATGACGAGGACGAGGACGAGCGCCGGGGCCGGGGCTGCACTCTGCAGTACCAGCACGCCATGGTCAGGGTGCTCACCCAGTTYGTGGCCGAGGACTCGGGGCCCTGGGGACAGCTGAGCCACCTGCTGGGATCAGACTGGCACTTTGACATCACAGACCTGGTGATGGATTTCATGAAGATGGAGGATCCTCACATCGCCAGGCTGCAGGAGGGCAGGRTCCTCGTGGGACGGGAAGTGGGGATGACCACGATGCAGGTACCTGCTCTGGGCACTGGGTATGGAACATTCTGGGACTGCCTCGTGCTCCATTCCCACAGAGAGCCAAGGTGTGGGAATCCTTACAGAGAGCTGAGGTGTGGGAATCCTTACAGAGAGCTGAGGTGTGGGATTGTGTGTGGGAATCCTTACAGAGAGCCGAGGTGTGGGAATCCTTACAGAGAGCCAAGTGTGGGATTGTGTGTGGGAATCCTTACAGAGAGCCAAGTGTGGGATTGTGTGTGGGAATCCTTACAGAGAGCCAAGTGTGGGATTGTGTGTGGGAATCCTTACAGAGAGCTGAGGTGTGGGATTGTGTGTGGGAATCCTTACAGAGAGCTGAGGTGTGGGACTGTGTGTGGGAATCCTTACAGAAAGCCAAGTGTGGGATTGTGTGTGGGAATCCTTACAGAGAGCCAAGTGTGGGATTATGTGTGGGAATCCTTACAGAGAGCCAAGTGTGGGATTGTGTGTGGGAATCCTTACAGAGAGCCAAGTGTGGGATTGTGTGTGGGAATCCTTACAGAGAGCTGAGGTGTGGGATCGTGTGTGGGAATCCTTACCACAGGCAGGGTATGGAGGGTGCACAGAGCTAATGGAGGCTATGGGCAAAGTTTTGTCAGTTTGTGCATGAAGTGACAATCCACAGTTCCCTAAAGAGAGCAGCATGGCCCGTGGCTCAGCAAAGGGAAGGATATTCCATCAGAAACAGAAAAAGACTGAGAAACAAGTATTTCCAATCCAAGAAGCAAAGGACAAATCCTAGGATGCTAAACTTCCTTTGAAGCAGTTGGGAACTGAATGAGCTCATCCATATGGGAACACAGAATAACAGGAGAAGAACATTTTCAGTCCACTGTCCTGGTGAAATGATGCCGATAACACATCTGGGGCAGGACAGCTTCCAGTCTTGGGTGGTTCTCAGCCATAACCCTGCACTGGTGTTTTCCTSACCCTTGGATGGTTCTCAGCCCCTGCACTGTTTTTTTTCCTGACCCTTTAATCAAATCCCTTCTGGTTCCCTTCTCAATGTGCTCTGTGCATAAAGCTTTGGAGACAGGAAGGGATGATGACCTTAAAAAGGTTCTATTAATTGATCAGCCTGTTCCTAACTTGATTCTTTTGTGTTTCTGCGAAGGTTTTGTCTCCCCTGTCTGACTCCATCCTGGCAGAGAAGACGGTGACAGTGCTGGATGACAAAGTGACCATCACAGACCTGGGAGTGCAGTTGGTGTCGGGGCTCTCGCTGTTCCTGCAGCCCAGTGCAGCCTCCAGCAGGGCCATCGTGGCCACAGCCGTTGCCCAAGAGCTGCTTCACACTCCTAARCAGGTGATGTGCACTCTGAATTTGCTGGTTCTGGCTTGGGCAGGGTTTTATCAGTGCACGGTACAGATGACAATTCATAACAAGTTTAGAATTTACACTCTGACTTAGGTGTAATCCATGACCTTGATTCCATCAGAAGGCAGTGGCAAACCTTCACCAGCAGGCTCTGGGGTGCTCAGAGTTCTCAATGGTCCCAAATTTGTGGGGTTTCACCTCCTTTTCTCCCAGAGAAAGGGAAATACCCTGTGTGCTTCCCCAGGAGAGGCTTTGCTGGGATCAGCCCCCCTTCCTTGGGGATCTGTGAGTGCCTGGGTCACCCCTGCTCCTGCCTGGTCCCTCTGGCTCCTGGGCACTTCCCTGTCTGGAGCCTGAGCTGATTTCCCTTCCCACCTTGTCGTGATGAATTCATTTATTCTCAAGGCTAAATCTCTCTCAGCCTGTTGAAAAGACTTCAGGGACTTTGCATCTCCATCACCAAAAACCAAGGCAGGAATAGATTTCACACTGGGAAATAAATGGAAGGAAATAGCGTGGGAGTGACCTGCAGAGTCACAGACATCTTTTCCTTTCATTTGCAGTTTGAATGAAGGATGTAACATTTAAGTCACTTTCCCTTAGAAAAAAATTAATGCAAATGTAGGAATGTTTGTGGCTAAATTTTGCWAGGAATGACTCACGGCTTGGAGTGCATCAGCTGAGATCCTGACTGAGCTGGAGCTCTGAAGGCAAATGCTGAGTGTTTGCTGAAAATCAAGCACTTTTTAAAAAAGGTTTTTTTCCAAGGAGACAGCCCAGGACTCAGCGTGTACTTGAATGTTGTGATGACTTCATTATTTGAGTGCGTYTTTTCCTCTCAAGCAGGTTTGTAAAAAGGTTTATAACTCACGCAGACCTTACTGATGCAAGTGAAAACACAAAATTAAAAGAGCTGAAGGTGTTGTTTCCCTCARGAAGGGTTGTCACAGGTTTGCAGGGTGTTGTTCTCAGTCAGCTGTTTGCCCTGCTCCCCCTGAGCTCCTCCAGATTTGTACCAGCACAGATCTTTCAGTGTCACRGGGATGGATTTGGGATTTTTGCTGTGCCTTTCTTTCCATGGCCATAACAACCGGATTCATTCTTTGGGGACAATGACCATACCCAGCACAAAGCAGCCAGAGCASCAGGCCTGAAAAGCTGGCAGTTTCTCCATAAATACAGAGCACTCTGAAGAAGATCAGCTAATTTTTTTTTTACCTTGGATGCCTTTTTCTATAGCTGGGCAGCTAATTACCTGCTGGGACAAGGTGACCTTGAGGGATGCTGAGCCCATCTATTATTTTATAATCAATAGGGAGCTCCTGGGCACTGAGAAGTGGATCAGTGATTTAAGTGCCTAAAAATAGACTGGTTGACCAACTTTTAAATATCAGAGATGAAGTATCTTCTRAAGATTTGGAAACTGTAGCTGTGAGTAATCTATTTTTAGGGGCCATCTGCTCAGGTAGGAAAGCTGTTCCATTTGGCTGGCTGTTAAATCAGCACTGTCATCTTAAAGCCTTCTCCAAAATGTAAATAAAAGAAAACCTACAGTGTTTAAGTGTTTTCTGATCTGAGTGAGCTTCAAGGRCTCTCAGATCTCAGCTGCCTCTGCAGGGAAACTCAGTCATATGCATTTTTTTTGTCACTGTAGGGTATTGCATGGGGTCTAATGAACTGAAATGGGTCCGTGGAGAAAGAAAAATAAACCTTTCATAAGCAGCTCTGTGTATTAATGCATCTCTCAGTGCTACTGGGAGACTGCAGCATTTCCTTAGGGGAAAAGAGCAGTGTTGGTGCTCTCCAAAAGGCAAATTGTCCAGTTTGACGTGTGCAGTGCCTGAGTCTGGGGGTGTCTGCTCTCAGTGCTGGCAGGGGAGGTGCCCAGCAGAACAATTTGGGGTGATTCCCATGTCCCTGCCTTTGGGATGGGCTGGTTGAGCTTGTGGAGGATCCTGAGGATCCACTGACATCTCACAGTTCAATAACAGATATCAGGGGGATTTTAATGGTGTGGATTCATYACCCCATCCTGGCAGCAGAAGTTACACTTAAATTGTATTTATGTCTTYTTTAAAGTGGCAGAGCAATGTGTTGGCTCACAGAGGAATTARGCAGCATGGGAAAGGGAGAAAGGATGCATTGTTAGATAAGAACCTGAATTCTTCCCTTGCAAGTACAAGCAAATTCCCACTGGAAAGGAATGTCACATTAGCAGATTGGACAAAAAGGAGAGAAAGAAATACACAGTGGGGGAATGCATGGTTTGAATTAAGATCTGAGCCTTGGCTGCCTTTCATTTCCACATCATAACCATCAAGMCCAATTTTTATTACACAAGCCACAGGCTTAAAAATAAATGCACATGTAATACTTTGATATTTCATGTGATAAAATTGCTAGGGAAATCCATTCCAGCATTCAAGTCCCCAGACAGAACAATCAGAGCTGGTCTAATAGAAGCTGCTGAGAGCAGGATTCCTTTGCCTTTATTTGAGGGAGGGATGTATTTGTTTTCTGCAGAGCCAACCATTTCTTTGCTCTGATGTCCTGCCTCACWCCAGGACTCTTGCAGCTGACCCCAGCAATTGAGGGCTTATTCACAAATACTTTTATTTGTGCTATAGTGAATGAAGATTATTAAAGGCCTCTTTATKCTGAGCATGGAATAAAATCAAATACCCTGATCTGTGTTTCTAAGCAGCAGAATTCTCTAAAATGCAACCAGTTAATCCAAAAAGATTTATCAAATGGTGTCTTTGGACTGATAAGGCACGATGTAATTCAAGGCCAGAAAAGGTGGTGGAACCACCACAGATGAAGAGCTGAAATTATACCTGGAACAGGGAGGAGAACAGCAAAGGCACAAGGGAAAATGTAGACAAAATATGTACTGATACAGTTTTTTCTGTGCTTAAGGAAAAGCCTGATGATAATCAACAGTGGTTGTGGGACGCATTTCCTCCGTGTCCTCTGGGCTGGATTTTGCTGCCATTGCCGTGATATGATGATGATGATGATGATGATGATGATGATGATCTGATGATGATGATGATAATTATCTGATTCCCTTCACATCTCAGTCATGTTGCAGCTCCTCCTGTTCGTGGGCAGCACTGGCTCTGCTGGGTCACTGGGGCTCACTGGTTCTGGGAGTGCAGCTGAGCACATCTGAATGTGCATGTGGGAGGAGAACTGGGGGAAAGAAAGACTGCAAAGCAAAATAATCCCTCCAACTCTTTGTTTATGTGTGATAATTAAAGAACACAGGCATCTGTCACCTGAGTGTTGAGGGCACAGACGAGGGGCAGCAGCTTTGCAGGTGAGGAGGCTCCAATCCATCTTCATCTGCTGAGAGGAACTGGAGGACCTTGTCAGAGATTGGGAGGGGATTTATKGATGTGGTACCCAGGATCTGCAGAAACAGCTCCTTGAAGGACACGGCACTAAATCATTTCCTTTTTCTCTCTCTTTTTTTTTTTCTTTTTAGCTTTTCAGAATTTATAATCATTTGGGAAATTCACTTCCTTCCTCAGCCTTTGGCTTTCCTTTAATGATGTGAAGGAGAGGAGATGATCTCTTGCCAAATAGAATATTTGGGCTGACACAATGTATTTTGGCAGGATTTTAAATTCTCTCCCTCTTTCTCTCATTTGTTTTCTTTCCCTTTAATTAATGTTGTCCGTAGTATGAGCATGACGATGTTGTGTTGTGAAAAAAATCAGTTCATCCTATGAAGAAATGTTCTCTTGGAAATAAAAACCGTCAATGCTGGTAGAAAATAATGGCTGAGCCATTGCACACCTCTGTTATCTACAGTAAATCACATGTGTGCCTGCAAATTTCAGCTGACTGCCATCTCATTTTTCTCTGTCTCTGCTTCATAAAACCAGRGATGCAGAATAGTAGAGAAATGGTGTGAGGAATAAAAGTTGCTTTGAAGTTGCTGGCAACTTTGTCCCAATGCACAAAGGATTGAGTGACGTGAATTCTGCTGTAGAGGTGTTGGAGCTGTGGATGTCCCCAGCTGGGAGGGAACCCCAAATCTCCCCATTTCCAGCCCTACCTGGACAAAATTCTGTCCTGTTCTCACCCTGCCCTCCAAAGAGAGCGCTGCTGGTGGGCAGGGATGAGATTTCCCTGCTGGAAGGATGTTTGAGGCAGGGATGAGATTTCCCTGCTGGAAGGGTGTTTGAGGCAGGGATGAGATTTCCCTGCTAGAAGGATGTTTGAGGCAGGGATGAGATTTTCCTGCTGGGTGAGGCAGGGATGAGATTTTCCTGTTGGAAGGGTGTTTGAGGCAGGGATGAGATTTTCCTTCTGGAAGTTTTGGATGCTGGTGTTTGTCCTTTCCTGGGCTGATGGAATGTCACTGTGCCTTCCCCAGCGGCACACGAGGCTGCCCTCTTGTTTTAGGGAGCAGGAAGGCAGCAGAGTGCTGAATTGCCTGAGGAGATGAATCTTTGTCTCTCTGCACATATCCATTAAAAAACCCCTTTGCTTTCCTGTGACCGGGTTTGCTCTGCTATAGATTTCTGTGATAGAAATTCGAGCTGTGCCCCGCAGCTTTGGGTTTCTGGCTGTTCAGCCATTTCAGGGTTGTTTCTCTAATGAAAGATCAGATGTTTTAATTTCCTTATGCAGTTCCCCCTTCCCAGCTTCTGAGTTGCCCTGGCTCCGTTTCAGCTGTTTGAAGTGAATCTGAATCACCGAGAACTTTGCCTTCCTCCCCGTTGTGCCACAACTTATTTTTCTTCTTTCAGTCCCCCAAGTACTTTGCTGATAGTGCTTTGGAAATCAAATATTCAGTATGGCCCAACCTTCTGCACAGCTAAATGCCCCTTGCTGTTCTCATTGAAAAGCTTTCAATTCAGCTAGAAGGGTAGCAATTCCCTTTGTTTATTACCACAGCATAACAAATTGCAGCCAATTGAAAACCATATTAAGYTGTAAATTTGTATTATGACTGGACATTAGGAGGGTGGCAATGTTTTTGCCCAGTGCTGATTTTTCAGCCCACTTGTTCTGATGTACCCRAGTGTAAAGTTATTAGAGCCGTTTGTGGTTTAAGTGTGGGAAGAAAAGAACTTCCCTTTTGTGGGAAGTTGCTCTCTGGCAATCTGCCTGGCCGTCTGCTGGCTAAACAGGCAAGACACAGAACAAATGAAAAATTAAAGAAATTTCCTGCAAAGAAAGCTACTGAGATGTGGAGAAGTGAATGTCTGGATCATCTGGATGGGATTTCAAATGGCAGAGAGCTGACCTCTGGCTTTGTGTTTGCTTCTAATGATGGCTTCAGACAGTGCTACCTGCAGAGTGCAAAGACAGACCAATTAAATCCAGGCCTGAGATTGYGCCAGAATCCCCATCCTCCTCTTTACGACACAACAATTTGGTGGGCTTTTTCATCATCTCAAGGATAAACTCTGTTTTACTTAAAACAAACCTTTCTCCAGTAAAATGGCAATTGTTCCGTGCGTTTCTTTATTTCAGATGAGCCTTCTGCTCCAGCCATTTCCAAGATAACTGTGGTAGTTCCTTACTCCTGTTAAGATATTTGTGCCTTAATTTGACAGCTCCCCATGACACCCGAGCATGTGGAACACGAGGAGAATAAGTGTTCTGTCAAGTGCCTCTAGTAATTTTTCTGATTTGCCTCTTCCAGCTTTTGTACGACAGGAATGGCTTTCCTTGCAAAGCTTGTAAAACCGTAGCCTGCTAATGGGCACTCTGGTAATGAGGACGTCTCGTATCAATTATTTTATATGTCCTCTCATGAAACATTTGCAGGGAGGATAGCAGCAGAGCCTGTAGTGGCAGATGTGACCTGTTCTCTGCCCCCTCAGTTGAAGCTTGGTGTGYTTTAAATGTCTCCCATTTCCTCCAGCTGCCGCTCAGAGCTGGGCGATGGACGAGCTGCTTTGCTTGAGCCCATTTCTTCAGGCCCTGTCTTTAACCATGTCCCTGTCSTTCCAGGAAGCCGTGGTGAGCGCGTGGATCCAGTTTAGTGACAGCTCTGTCACTCCGCTGGACATTTACGACCCCAGGGAGTTCTGGCTGTCGGCGGTGTCGCTGGACGAGGCCGTGGTGTCGGTGCGGCAAAGCACGGCGCTCCGGTGGCCCGTGGTGACGGCCGAGGGCGAGGGCCAGGGAGCGCTCATCAAGGTGGACATGATGATCTCGGAATCCTGCCAGAAATCCAAGAGGAAGAGCGTGCTGGCCGTGGGGAGCGGCAGCATCAAGGTGAAGTTCGGGCAGAACGACGCGGACGCGGAGGCGGGCGGCGATTACGACGCCGATGAGATCGAGAACCGCGCCAGCGACCGGCGCCACAAGAACCCCGAGCAGGAGCGCTACGGGCAGGACGGGCGCTACTACGGCAGCTCCTCGGCCGAGAGGGACGAGGGGCCCCTCCGCAAGGCCAGCACCACGGCCAAATCCATCCTCAAAAACAAGCTGCTGAAAAACAGCCGGCTGGACGGCGGCAAGCTCTCGGACGACAGCCAGCTGCAGAACATCCCCATCGACTTCACCAACTTCCCCGCGCAGGTGGAGCTGCCCAAGGGCGGTGCCGGCGTGGAGGACAGCGATCTGGTGCAGACACCCCGCGGGCTCAGCGACCTGGAGATCGGCATGTACGCCCTGCTGGGAGTGTTCTGCCTGGCCATCCTGGTGTTCCTCATCAACTGCGCCACGTTTGCACTCAGGTACCGGCACAAGCAGGTGCTGGTGGARGGACAGAGCACCATGACGCACTCCCACGATTGGGTGTGGCTGGGCAACGAGGCCGAGCTGCTGGAGAACGCGGCCGATGTGTCCCCTCAGCAGGACGAGCGCACCACCATCATCGACCGCGGCTCGGCCGGCGAGGAGAGCAGCCAGCTGCTCAACGGCAGCGCCCAGAAGAACATTCAGAGCCAGGTCCACAGGGCCGCGGACTCGGGGGGCAAGGGGGGCAAGGAGCCCCGGGCCGAGCCCTTGCACTCGCCCACGTCCAAGAGGAAGCGGGTCAAGTTCACCACGTTCACCACCATCCCGCCCGACGACGGCTGCCCCACCGTCAACTCCATCCTCAGCAGCCACGACGATGACATTAAATGGGTGTGCCAGGACATGGACCTGGGGGACTCCAAAGAGATACGAAACTACATGGAGAAGTTCAAGGACAAAGTGTAGCTCCCTGCTGGTTTTTTTGTTTTTGGGTTTAACCACACCTTGATGCCTTCAGTTCTACAGTATATATTGGGGCGGACGACGGGGAGGGGAGGGGATCGCCAGGAGAAGTGACCAGGCGGTTTTTATAATCAGGGAAAGAAATTTGCCAAACTGTCCATGGTTTGTTTTTGTTTTTCACTTCCTTTTGAGTTGTTTTTTTGTTTTTTTTTTTTTCCAGTGGTTATTCTGCTACTCATGGATTTAGGAAGTGGAATATAAATAGCAGAAAGGAACCAGGAAATGGTATGACCAATGCGATGAACTGAGCAAGATGAGGTTGTGAAAATTCATTTTATGGGTCATACAAATAATAAYGGTAGTAATATTTCACGGTACCAAAAATATCTGTAAAAAGAAATGAGAGAGTGTAAGAGCATGAAAAGAATAAGCAAAGAGGCAAACAATAACTTGTTCTGGTTCCAATAAAACATCACAGTTATGGACATATGACCCACAAGGAGACTTTATATTGGTACTCAAGCTGTTCTCTTTTTATTCCTTCATTTGAAGTGAAGATGTGTCTTTGGCATTACATGTGAAGGAGGAAGAAATTACCTGGTATTTTCATTCTTACTTTTCCATTTGTCTTGTAAATTGAAACAGATTCGTTTTTCCCTCTTGTATTTTTCTTTTAAATATCTTGAAAACAGGGAAATTTAAAATTCATAAGTTCGCAGTGGGCCAAGAACATTCTGTTTCTAAGTTAGCTGTCAACAGTCTCCTGTCATTTAAAGAATTCAGGGGATAAGTATTGACTAATAATTTCCATGTGGTGTCTCTCTGAAAGCCTCCATTTCACCCTAGCTAGGAATATGTTCTGTTTGGAAGCATTTCCATTTTCCTTTCAGGTTTGGATTGTTGCTTTCGTTGCTCGTTTTAAATTTCCACAACCAAAGTTCCTGCGTTTCTCCAAGGGAAGAAGGTGCTGTTTTTTGTTAGCTTTTAGAAGTACCAAGCGATGGGAGAGCCCCACTGGTGCACCCTCAGTGCACCTGGAACTGAGACCATCACAGGCCAAATATCTACAGCCTGGAGTTCGTTGGGGTTTTTTTGCCAAGTTCATAATTTTGTTCTGTAATTTTCTGTTTATTCTGATGTCACCAGCTGTCATCAAGGTCTGAAAGCAAGAAGAGTGGACAGAAAGACACCGATTGCCCCCAAACTTTTATTTCCTTGTATKGGGAGAGCTGATCTCTGGACAGGCYGTTTCGAGGGAGGGAAATTCTGCTGAAGCAAGATCAAGAAATATCTGGAGCTATTTTACAGAGAAAATKTCAGGCTAGATTGCAAAGCTGATGTTTTGAATAAACAAATCTCAACCCAKTATTAAATCGGAAGCAAACACAAAAGGGAGATTTAATTAGGGGTGTGAGCTGGCAGAACGGTGCTGGCTCAGTGGCAGCTCACACTGCTGGAGGGCACAGATCAAATTCACACRGTGAGGAAAGCTCTGTCCTCCAGAAGCTCTCCCAGCCCCGAGGAGGGGTCCATCCACCTYTGGACAGCAGCACCGTGTCCTGAGTGTCACCAGAAGCGCTCACATCGTCCTGTCCTTGCCATGGATTCCCTTGGTTTGGGTTTTTTCATGATTAAACTCCGTAGTTTGGGTTTTTTTTACTCGGCCAAGACCAATCCTGCCACCCGGTAACATAGATGGACGTTTTAACAAGACATGCCTAGTATGCATTGTAGACTGAAAGAATGTAATATTTATTTATACCTGGTATACGAATTGTAATTAAAATGCTTTACACGGCTTGACAAACGAACCTCTCTTTCCTCAGGGGAGGGGATCCTCTGCCATTCCTGTGCTGCATCCACTGCCCTGGAACGGGACTTKAGCCACGTTTTGGAGACAGAATAGAGATGTGTGGAAGTTTTTCTGTGCTCTGGTGGTTCCTTAGTGAAGCATTTCCCCTTCCCAGGATGGATGGATGGCAGGGGCAGTCAGGGCTGGGCAGGGTCAGGGCAATGGCACAGTTCCTCCTGTTCACCATCATCATCACCATCACCATCATCTCTATCATCATCATCATGATCATCACCATCATTATCAGAATGTGAAGCTCCCAGGGCTCTTTCAAGGAGGGTGTTCTGAGCTGTGGGTGGCACCTCCAGGAGCACAGTGGGCAGGAGGTGACAAAACCCTGTGTTCTTTGCAGAGGAGAACAGGCTGGATTTGAAAAGACAACAGAGCGAGGTTAAAAAAAAAAAAGGAAAAAAAAAACTCAGCCCTGCCTTCACATTTAATTTTCTGAAGCTACAGAACATGGGGCTTCAGAGGCCAATAGTGAATTTTTTCAATTTGTCTCGCACTGACCAAAAATTCTGCCGCAGCCCTGTTCTGAGTGAGCCACCAYAAACGATCATCTCAGCAGGGAGGAAACCGCTGGGCTGTGAAATATCATTTATTTGAGAAATCCACACGGGGTCAAATGGCAGGATTTACATTTCTGAGGCTTTGCAGTGGCGGAGGATGTGCAGAGATGTGAAAGATGTGCGGGGATGAGCTCGGGATCGCTGAGAATGTGCCCGGGATGTGCAGGATGTGAAAGATGTGCGGGGATGTGCAGGGATGTGCAGGATGCTCTGGGATGTGCAGGGATGCTCTGGGATGTGCAGGATGCTCTGGGATGTGCAGGGATGTTCTGGGATGTGCAGGGATGCTCTGGGATGTGAAGGATGCTCTGGGATGTGAAGGATGCTCTGGGATGTGCAGGGATGTGAAGGGATGTGCAGGGATGTGCAGGGATGCTCTGGGATGTGCAGGGATGTGCAGGGATGCTCTGGGATGTGCAGGGATGCTCTGGGATGTGCTGGGATGTGCAGGGATGTGCAGGATGCTCTGGGATGTGCAGGGATGCTCTGGGATGTGCAGGGATGTGCAGGGATGCTCTGGGATGTGCAGGGATGCTCTGGGATGTGCAGGGATGTGCAGGGATGCTCTGGGATGTGCAGGGATGCTCTGGAATATGCCCAGGATGCCGATCCGCGGCGGTGGCAGTGCCAGGAGGTGGCACTCCAAGCCTGGCATGGAACAGCGCAGCTCTCGGTGCTCGGGGACAAATCCCTGCCCTCGCTGCGGCCTCGGCTGTGGAACCCCTTGGTGCCTGAAAGGGGTCTGGCACGCAGGAAAATGGGGCTATTATTAGTAGTAGTAGTAGTAGTAGTAGTAGTATTAGTATTAGTTTAATTCTTTATTTTCTGCGAGCGACAAGTCACTGCTGAGAGGCTCCAGGTTGGTTTGCACTAAACAAACCTCGCTCTGCATGTCCTGGGGAGGGGGATCAGCCCTGGACAGCCCCTGTGCCCAAAATGCAGAGCCGGGGCTGGCAATGGTCACAGCTGCACATGGAAAATCACAGAAATCATGGAAAATCACAGAAATCATGGAAAATCACGGCTGTGCTGTCTCTGGGACCCCCTGCAATAACCGTGTGTGTGTGGGCAGAAATGGAGTGCTTTGTTCTGAGTCGGTAATGATTTTAATAACCAAGATGGAAAGTGTAATTATGAGGGAGATGTGTCACACTTAAGGGGGAGCTGCAGCTCTTTGCAGCGAGAAAACAGCTCCAGCTTCAGGAGAGTCTTGGCGGCTGAAAAATTATTTATGAGGAGCTGACGGGGAGGGAGAAACCTGTGGAACTGTTGTGTCTGCTTCCTGCCTCTGTGCCCGATGTAAAAAATGGGAAATCCTCATCTGGTGGTGCTGCAGGGTCCTGCCAGGCTCCCAGCTCATCTGGAATTCAGGGATGCACAGAGCAACGTAAATAATTTGATATTCATCCTGACAACTGTAGCCCCAATTTCAACAATGCAATGGACAGTGTGTTATCTCCTAATGTGTTTGGAGATCAGAGCTGATTTAAAGGTTATTCACCCCAGGAGAAATTATGCTGTAATTGAATTTATCTTGCGTTTGTCTATTCAAGGAAACATAACTGCAGTTTAAGGGAGAAAAATACATCAAGGAGCTAAATTTTTATTATCAGTTTGTATAAAAAGATACAAATTATTCCAGCAGCCTTCCTCCATTGAGCTGTGTTATTTTGTGCATTATCAGAGTCCAGGCTGGAAAATAAAGACTTCTTTCAGCAGATAAAGCTCTACACCTTCACCTCAAAGCGTGGAGAGAGTGGAGCAGAGCAGCACAGAGCATTGGAATAATGAGGTTGGTGTAAAATGAATCAGAAAGTGGCACTCTGGGCTTTAGCAGGAAAAGCAAAGTTTGGCTGTGGAACGTGGCAGTGGAGCTTTGGCTGCAGCACCTCAGGAGCCTCCTCAGGCCGTGATAAAACCCTGCAGGAATTGGGTGTTGTTCCCACAGATTATCTCAATCTTTGCCTTCTTCTCAGCTGATAAAAACCACTCCTATTGTGGGTCTCTATCTTGGGGTTTGTGCCCAAATGTGGCAGTTTTGATAAAGGGAAAAGAATTATTTTACCTCTCAGATAACAAATTTTATGCTAAATTTCAGGCAGACGGTACAGAAAACAGCTGAGAGATTATAGCCCCCAAACCAGGCTTTAAATGGGAATGATAAGTTGCTGTAAAGCTGCCACAGCCCCGTTCTAACAATGGAAGAGTTATTTCCCCTCATTCACTCTCACATTCCTTATTAATTTCCCCGTTCTTCGTTATCCATCTCAGTTCACTTCTCCTACTGCTCATTATGTCACAGGAAAGGGCCTGAGTCTTGGGGAGCCTCCTGTGTTATTTTTTCCCTGCTCTTATTTCTTGGTAAACCCAAATTTCCACTTTCTGATTCATTTTACACCAATCTCATTATTCCAATGCTCTGTGCTGCTCTGCTCCATTCTCATCTGCAGCCACGCTTTGAGGTGGAGGTGTAGAGCTTGATCTGCTGAAAGAAATCTTTATTTTCCAGTCTGGAGTTAGATTAGGCAGAAAATATCGCAGGGCATGGGTGATTCTTTGGGGTGTTTGCTTTCATTTCTTCCCCAAAGCACAGAGGGAGGGTCTGTCCCTGTCCCTGTCCCTGTCCCTGTTCCTGTCCCTGTCCCATCCCTGTCCCTGTCCCTGTCCCATCCCTGTCCCTGTCCCTGTCCCATCCCTGTCCCTGTCCCTCTTCCTCTTCCTGGTAGGGACAGGAGGGGATCCTGACCCTGCACCAATGGGCACCCAAAACTGGGGGAATCCTCCTGGGTGGAGCCTTGGTTTTGCTTTCAGAACTTAAGGAACATTCACCCCTCTCTTTGTAAGAGAACGTGTTGATTCAGATAAAAACCCCAGCACAGGGAGTTCATCAATGRGCTGAGCTCTGTAACCTCCATCCTTTATTGTTTTTTGCAAGCAACCTTTCCGATATTCTTCAATAAAATCACTTTCCAATTTAATGCATCGCCACCTCTGGATGACCAGAAGCTCTGCCTGGGCCCCGATGRTTTTTAATATTTCCAGACATGCGTTTTGCTGTCTCCCTGCTGTGCCTGTGTCCCTCCAGGTGACAGCAGCTCTTCACGGCTCTCGTGGCTGACAAGCACGAAATAGAGAAGCAAATGCCCTGAGTGATCCAGAGCAGGGCTGCAAAATCAGTTTGATGGGAAACAAAAGGAGAAGAGCTCTTGGTACAATAAAATTTGCTGCAGGCTAAGCAGTTATCACCTGAGCTGCCCTGGGGGAAAGGTTTGATTTCCCAGCTGGGAAATCTCCTTCTGATGCTGGTGAAGGTTTAGGTGGGAATGTGTTTATTCCCTTCAGATGGTCCCAAATATCCAGGGAGGGACTGACAGCAGTGAGAATGGGTTATTCCCTTCAGATGGTCCCAAATATCCAGGGAGGGACTGGCAGCAGTGAGAATGGGTTTATTCCCTTCAGATGGTCCCAAATATCCAGGGAGGGACTTGCAGCAGTGAGAATGGGTTTATTCCCTTTAGATGGTCCCAAATATCCAGGGAGGGACTGAAGCAGTGACTGCAGCTCAGGGGCACCCACAGCACAGGCAGGGACTGTCACCACCCCTGTCCTTGACTTCTTGGTGGCTGCAGCTGCGCTTTATCTCCAGATTTTATTTCACAGGCACATTTTAAATTGCTCCATGTATATGAAAAGCAAACAATGGGGCTCTGTGCCTGCCAGGGCCATGAATCACGTCAGGGAAGGGAGAATAATAAAATATTGTTTAATATACTGCAATAGACACAGCAGATGTTTAACTTTCTTTCAATAAAAATGACCCCGTATCATTTTATTAACTTCAGGGATGCATTAGTCTCTTCTCCAGAAGGCAGGAGAAAATCCATCTATTGTACCAAAAATTAAAGAGGAAATTGAAGGGGGATGTTATCGTGGCATATTTTCCTACTACATTCTGTTCTTCTGTARCACCAATGTAATTGGAAGCAGCTCCTGTCAAATCTTACTCGTATCTGCAAAACCAAACAAAATGAATTTGTACCCCAAATTAGCCACTTTTTTCCAAAACCCACGAACAGCAGGCTGCTGGATCCAGCAAATATTCACTGCTGAGGAATCATGGAGGGTCTGAGCCCTACTGTGCTGTGTGGGCAGATATAATTAATTATTATAAATAATCCAGATTTGGGGACAGGGGAAGGCAGATACCTTTCCCTGACAGGCAGAGTGTGGATGTTTACAGGAACAGAACCTGAACCCTCCCCTGAATCCAGAGGGGACAAATCTCTCACTTTTAACTCCACCACCACACAGAYTCCTGCTTTGGGAAGCTGCAGACTGGAGATGAGCTGAAATATTACTTTTCACAACACTCCAAGTGGTTTTCTCAGTCTGGGGAGTGTTTTGATGTCTACTGYTTTTACTTCAAAAAGCTGTTTGACCGTATTCTGCTTTGACATCCTTATAAAATTATTTGAGGTTCTCCAGCAACATGAGAGTGCTTTGAAAAGCCAACTTTAAATTATTTGTGCTTTTATAAGGACCTGAATTTGGACAGTTTTGTATCATGCAGAACAATTCCATCATAATAAAGCTCATCAGTTTGATGAGCTGGAATTTAGAAGTGATGAGGATTGTGCACAGGTGGGATATAATTTTTAAAATTATTAAATTTTGGAAAACCTGCAGTGGCATCAGTGCCAGGGCCAAGGTGAAATCCCTGCACAAAGTGGGTTTTTTTTTGGAACAGGAGCCATTGAGGGAAAAATTCTTTGGTCCCTTTTCTGTCCCTTGTGCAGCTTCCACTATTTTAATATCAGGCTTTTTCAGCTGGTTATAAATGGGGTATTCCAGAAGCACAGCAWATGGAGCTTTTAAAACAGAAAAAGGAAATTAGTTTTTCCTCATGGAGCCATTATTCTTTACTAATTCCAGTTTTAAATCATGCTAAGGATTGCCCAGCTGAAGCATCTTCACTGATTTATCTGGCCAAAGACAGGTCAGCTTGCTCACTGCTGCACCTGTGGACTTTTAGAAATCTAAAATCACTCTAATGTGTCTTAAGGAAATAAAGGGTAAAGAACAAAATAGTTGTAGCATAGTTTTATTCACCTAGAAACAAAAGGTCGAAAGTCACAGCATGGAGGGTCATTTTATTTTGTAAACTCATTAAAAAGATGTCCATGTACAAAATAAGGACMTTTTAAACAACAGAACTGCGGGCAAAGGAAACTATAAAAATTCAACAAATTAATAAAAAGGTTTTATTTCCTTTCTGCATAATTCTTTGCACCCTCCACACCAGTCTGCACACAATCTTTAGTATGGTTGTTAGAATCATTAAATTCAAGAGGCTGCACACGAAGCCATTTGCTCTGCTGGAGGAATGTGTTGCTGGAAGATCCAAACCCAGGAGCACGTTAAGGAGAGGTAAAACAAGGAAGGACGTGGCTAAAGGCTGCTGAATGGTTATTGTGCATTGATCTGCTCACAATTCCAGCTCACTTTGCTTCCTGCAGGGATTTGGAACAGTCCTCAGGGGAGTACCAGCGTTAGACTSAACAGGCCGTGCCCAAAGCTTGTCCTAACACATCTAATGCAGGTTCAAAAATAAAAACACTGCTGMAGTAAAGCAATTTCAGTCCCAACAAGTGTTCATGGTGCACCAAAGCCTGCAGCAGCTGCCTGACAAGGGATAGAGGGGTCAGTCCTCAGTGTTGGATACTCGACTGCAAGATTGGACTTAAATCCTTGATACAGGTCAATGATCAAATTATATTCCATTTTCATCTGTGCTAATTTGAATTTGTCCCTGTTTTTCCCCCTGAAATGACCCTTGGTACTGACAATGCCAGCATGGTTGAGGTTCCTGTGCCACGTTTCTSTGCAGTGTCCTCGAGGCAGGCTGGGGCTGCTGCTGAGTGTTTCTGTGATCCATTCCTCAGTTTGGGTCTGTGGGACTCCTCCTCCACTGTGAGTGTCCCAGTTTTTGGGAGTGAAGCCACCACCTCCCCACGAACAAAGAGCAGCTCCAATTCCTGCAGTGAATTCACTCCAAGCTCTGCTGGCTCTGCCAGGCCCTAGTGCAAGAACCAGCCCCAGCAGCATAAGGCACTTACCCCCATGAAGCAGGGCAGCAGCAGAGAGGATCCTGCCCCAGGCAGGGCTGGGAGAGCCCCCCTGGAGGAGCAGGAGAGCTTTGGGGAGCACTGCCACTGCCCTGGGTGCTGCTGCACACTCTGACAATGCCCCAGCTCAGAGCCTCCCGTTGGCAGCCACTTCGTGCACCTTCGACTTGTGGTGGTCGTATTTCACAGAAACAATCAGGAAAAGCAAGAGGGTTGCTCCTTGGATAGCAGCCAGCAAAAAGAAGTAATAGTTTAATTGGCAGCCGTTAATATTGCCTAGAAAGAATAAATAATTAATGAAGATAATAAAAATAAAAATGGGAATCTTGTCAAGTTTAAATAGCGAAGAACTTTTCTGCAAAACCAAACCCAGTCACGTTTCCATCCCACAGCAGAGTTCATTTTTAATTATCCAGAGCAAAGGCTGGCACTGCTCAGGAAGATGTGCACAGGATAAGGAATGTTTTCTTTTGTTCTGCAAKGCCTTAGACCAAKTMAAAAGAAAATAAAGAAAAAAGCATAAAAGTAATGCTGTAAAGGAAAAAGTTGGCAATGCCATGGATATAAAAAAGCCATTACTGCAATTGCTTCTCAGTGTCCTTTTTGGGACAAAGTTTAGAGATCAGGAAAAGCCATCGGTGGCTTCTTTGTGGTTCAATTCACCTTTGACAACTCSCTCAAAGTTGTCACAAATTAGGGATCTGGACATTAAACAATGTTAAATTAAGGAAGCTCATTGCTAAAACATTATTCCTGTGCTAAGAGACATGCACAGCTCTTGCTGTACTTCCAAGAACAATATATTGTGGCTCATTTCCAGCACAGCACAGCCAACTGGACCATTATGATGATCAAATAGGTTGCAGAGAGTGAAACAGTGACGTGTACATGGACCCTAACAAGCTGTTCCTGCAGCAAGCCTATAAACGTTCAGATTAAATTACTTTAATTACTGAAACTTAAGATTCAATTAAACCAACTTATAATAAAATGCAATAAAATTAAACTGAGGCTTTCCTTGACATTTAAAATACAATATACATGTGAATCTCCATTTCAAGAGCAGATGTGTTTAAAGAGTAGTAATTATCCTTTATGAGATGGGATATTAAGCCCGTGAAATTTTAGTTTTTGTGGGAGAAACAAGTCAATTCAATGGCAGCAGCCACCCCTGAAGGGCTGGCAGAGAGGGAAGTTTCTCAGGGGATTTTGGAGGTGGTCAATCCCCCCCAAGTGATATTTTGGGATGGCAGAAACAGCAGAAATTTGGGGCACCTGCCTGTAGTTACTGCACAGAAAAGCCCAGACTCCTCCAGGGAAYGTTCAGAGGTGAATTTGGTAACTTCCAATAATGTTACACCAAATGGAAATTGAGTTAGAAAGTCACTGATACAA